AAGATGGGGGAGGCATTGTAAAAGAACAGCTTGTTTAAATAACAATTGGGATCATGATGGACCTTAAGCTCAGAACAAGGCAATTGTGTATGGCTTTGTACCCCACAAAGTTTGTGGAGCCCTAGGCTGCATTGAGAACCATGGTGTCCGGGAGAAGAAAGGTGAGAATTCTGATGTACCTTCTTCTTGTTCAACCACATACAGAGTATTGTGTTCAATTTTGAATGTCACATTTCAGGACAGACATTGAAAAGTTGGAAACCATCCAAAGGTGGCCAATCAGGACAATGAAGGATCTTAAATTCCATTCTAGTTGAAGTAATTGAGGATAAGTAGCCTGGAGATACATACATACATACATATAAATATAGATATTGGGTTCCTCTCAGTATATATTTATATTTTTGTCTGACAAAGGCTTTTATACATATATATAGAGAGAGGCTCATTAGGCACTCTACTAGAGAGTCACTAGAACAGATAATGACCATGCCAAGGTAAAGACCAGCAGATGGTAGCAGAGAGCTGCTTGGCAACTACAATACCAGCAGAGACAATGGAATGGACAGCAGAGATGCAAAATCCAAAAGAAAGAAGCATGATGACATCAGCCAAGAACATTAACAGCTCTTTAGCACTGGAAGGGGATGGTGCAGTGGGATGAGTGTGTGGGTAGATTCAGGGAGCAGAATGTTCCATTTCATTTGTCATAGATTATAGGAAGAGAAGTATTATGAGGCAGAAAAGATAGGGTAGCATCAGGGTGTGGATGACCTTGAACACCTTGCAGAGTAGTGTGAAATTTGCTTGGCAGTAAGTATCAATCATCTAGAAACTTCAAAGTTGTTTTTCTTTCTAATGGATGAATTAAAAAACTCAGTTGTCAATAATTTCCTAATGAATAGGCTTGTGAACACACAAGTGAATGCACCACGAAAGTGAACTTCTGTTAAAAACATAGACTTTGTAAAATGCTATGACAGGCCTCCATAATTTGATCATTTCAAGTCCCATATAATTCATAAGTGAAAGATTGTCTTGGTAATCAGAAATCATGTTGCATCTGCTTGAGATATATAAAGCAAACCAAAATTAAAAACAAAAACTGGAGATTGTTAGTGAAGACATGCTGCCAATTTTAGTGTCAAACATATGTGCTAATGGGGAAATTCTAAATAATTACATTGTATGACACTGGCTATTAGTAGTAGGGGAGATTAATACCTTTTTTAGTACCATTTTGGCCCAATGCTTTTTGGTCTCTCAACAAGCATATAAAGGAATGTCCCAAAGGACAGTAGTAGACATATCAAATCAGCTAGGTTTTGAAAAGTTTCTATTTATTTTTTTTAAAATCCCTTTCTCATTCACAGTAAAAAAAAATCTGTTTTGTCATAATCAATAGCACAAGGCAAGGCAATGGTAATTGACTAATAACTCTATACTCCAATGAGATCATTTGAAGATGACCTGTGGTAGGTTGCAATGAAGTCCTTAGTAAATTACTCTGGGTCCTGTAGTCATTAAAGATGCCAAGCTGTCAATAAAATCAATTGAGATGCAGTTGGCTTACAGTGCAAGATCAGATTTACAACAGGCATTTGGAGATTAGGTTCAGATGGAGATTTTAATTGAGAAACAAATATTACCTACTAACACAAATGGCATCAGAAAATAAATATAACTCACATAAACAAAACAAATAACAAAATGTTTAAAGACGGATTTTGCCAGTAAGATTTTCCTTAGGAAATTACTTAGGTTTTTGTTGTTGTTGTTGCTGTTGCTTTTTTTTTAATTACTGAAGCTGTGGACAGATATATTTCAGATAAGAACTTTTATAAATTTTATCTGGCATTAATTACATTACATTAATATTTTAAAATAAATTGTTAATAGTAAAAATAAAAATGCCACATTTCACATTTCTCTTGCTTTATAGAATATAAGATAACTGACATACCTATCAATATTAAAGAATTACAATTATATGATTTAATCAGTTTGCTTTCCTTCTAAATCTTCAATTAATCTTACTTTACAGTCTATCTTGTAGGTCTTTAGTGTGAATATTATTGAACCTACATTTATTTAACTATCTCCTGACATTGCTATTTCTTTAAGGCAATTGGGGTTAAGTGACTTGCCCAGGGTCACACAGCTAGTAAGTGTCAAGTGTTTGGTCTGAGGCTGAATTTGAACTCAGGTCCTCCTGACTTCAGGGTCAGTGCTCTATCCACTGCATCACCTAGCTGCCACTGACATTGCTATTAATTTGACTTTATTGCTTTGTGAATAATGCATCCTTACAATATTTCCAATCATATGATTTTCAGCCTAAATATTACTATAGCTTTATTTAGTTCTTTATTTACCAGTTCCCATGTCATTGATAGTTTCAGATTAAAATGCACTATCTTTTCATCTAAAAATAGTTCTATTCAAGTTATGTTTTCAAACTGAAGATAAAATTACCATCTACTGTACACCAGACATTGTGATTCAAAGAAAGACAAAGAATGCCCCTTTTATCAAGGACCTCACATGATAATAACTAGGTATATACAAGTTGTAAACAGAGTAGATGAATAGCAATCTCATAGAGAAAAGAGCTGAGGGAACTTTTGTAAAGGCCTTCTGTAAAATCTAGGATTTGACCTGAGTATTGAAAAAATCCATGGAAATTAAGAGGCAGTGGTGAGCACTCTAGGAATGGGGGTGGGGGTGGGGATGGGGGTGGGGAAATAGTACAAAAAAAGAGATTAGAGAAGGAGTTTCCTATGGGAAGAATTTGAAGAAAAAAATGATATTGTAGAGACTGAGAGAAGAGACTATGAAGAAAGGTAAACTGTAAAAGAATAGGAAAGATATGGTGGGATCAGGTTTAAATGTCAGAGAGATTTACATTTGAAACTAGAATAAATTGGAAGAATTTTGTTGGGAGTGAGGAATGGCATGGTTATACCTACACTTTAGAAAAATCTAGTCAGCTGATAGATGGAAGATAGATGGCAATGGAGAGAGTTGAAACAAGGAGATAAGTTAAAAAAAATACAATAGTTCAAGAGAAGAGTGATGAGGGCCTGAACTGAGGTCATTGCTGTGTGAATAGACAAAAAGGAAGATAAAGGAGAGATGTTGTGAAGGTAGAGGAGACAAGATTTGGCAATGGATTGGATACGTGGGGCGAGAATGAGAAGTCAATGAAGACATCAAAGTTGTTGAGCTAGATAATCCAAAGATGTTGGTCCCCTCATCAGTAATTGGCAGCTTGAGAAGAAATGATTTAGGGGGAAAATGAGTTTTGCTTTGGATATGTTGAGTTCATGAAGCCTATGGGACATCCAGTTCAAAATGTCCATGAGACAGTAAGTGATATTGGAATAGAGTTATATAAGGATACATACATATTCATAGATTTATACATGGATTCAACCTGCAGAGATGATAATTTAATCTATGAGAGTAGATGAGATTACCAAATGAGATGAGTGATAAGAGAGCATAGGACAGGCAAATAGGGAACACTCATGGTTAGGAGCGTGACATGGATGAAGAAACAGAAGGCAAACCAAAGATAAGGCCTATAGATAGGGCCTGCTATTTCATACTGGGCCCGGTTATGCCTTATTTTAGTCCTCCTCAATCATCTTCTCCTTAACTGCCTTGCCTTCTAGGCCAGAATAGCCATGTCATGAGGATTTAACCCTTCCAATTTCAGAACTCCCTTCATGGGGCCCTACTGTTATGATTAGTGTTTCCTTATCCCCACTACTTTACACTAGTCCCAGCCATGATTCATTTTATTCCCTAGTCATCTTCTAACCGAAAACCTTCCTGCTCAGAGCCCTACCGAATTTCTCATCACTCCCCCACCCCCATGCTTTCTAGGTCTGGAGCCATTAGTCAATCAATATAACCATTACTCCTCGAAAGTTTTTGTTCATTTATAACCCTATGACTTCACTCCTTAAAACTTTCAAAACAAAAATACCTCTCTTTATCTACCAATTTCCTACATGTGTAGCCTACCGTTAATAAAATGTATGTATCTTGAGAGCAGGGACTCTTTCCTTTTGTATTTGATACATACTTAGGGAGTATATATCCCTTTGAAATATCCATCACTTTGTGAAATTAACAATATGAATCTTTGAATGACTATCATTAATTATTGAAAAAATACATGTCATATTTAATTTTAATTATACTACCCTGGTGCATATATTTGTAAATATATCAAGAACAACACTGTACATTTATTATAAATAAAGACCAAATGTGAATTAAAATCTAGAGAAATAAACAATTACTTAATTCATGAATATTGTTGTTTTTACTTCTATTCCTAAAGCCGATATTTACAAGAGTTTTTCTTGATGCCTGATGTTCATAAATGAAAGTGTATATGCATTTCCATAAATAGGTGTGAAATAACACATTTTGTATTTCACACAAAGGAGCAATCTCAGCAAACGTTCCAAGTGACCTACATCTCTAACCAAAGCAGATGACATAAAAAAAAACTACTTTAAAGAGCATAATTATAAATAGATACTCATGTCATAGAATTTGCTATGAACATTGCCTGGTGTTGGTTCTTCAGTGTACAATAAAGACATAGGAGTAGGCATAATATATTATGATTATTAGGATTTTTATTTTGCAAAATATTTCACAATAATATTGTTACACAGCAGAAAAGAAAAAAAAATACACAGATTACTACTGATAAGAGGTACCATGGGTTGAGAAAAAAAACCTGCTTTATAGTACATTTTCCATTTTAAGGCCTAATTTCTTACACTTGACATGGTCAAAAACATTAAATATAAATGGAATTTAACAGCAATATGAATGCACAAGTAAGTTCTAAAAAGATAAAATGATTTTAAAAGGAAAATGGAGATAATTTTGCACACAACCCCTCAAATAGACATAGTTGTACTCATTAGGGCTTTGGAAACATTCTGGAAACATTGCTATTTTGTGTTTATTTCCTTTTTAAAAAAATGTTTGTCTATTAACACATTGCTTACATTTTCTTTTGTTATTTAAGTGACCTGATTTCATCTAATTCTTTGTAGACTTTGCCATTCATATATAGCCAGAGCATAGTAAATTGTTCCAGCATAGAAATAATTTTGCAACTAAAGGGTGCTCCCAGGCTACCATGTGTTTAGTTAGTGTCTTTCCACTTTAGAAAACTTTAATGACTTATGAAGAGTATTTTTTTTAATTCAACAGACTTGATACCAATGAGTCAAATAGAGCAATCAGAAGAAGTACACAGTGGCAGCATTCACTTAAACTCATACCTGCAAAGGAAACACTTAAATTAATACAGAGTTTATTTTAGTCTTTAAGGGTATGTTTGTTATTATTTATCCAATATGAATTACTGATATCTTTGAATTTCAACACTAGAATTCTAAGAGAAATATGAAAACCTTTGGAAACAATACCAAAATAAGAAGCAGATGCATCATCAAATTTGAAATCACTTTTTAGGTTGGAATGGTTAAAGTTGGTAAATCTTAACTGGAGAACAGGGTGAGGAGAAAAATAGAATTCCTTTAAAAGAGCACCAAAGTTCTAATATTCTTTTTAGCCTTTAAGTAAACTAATTAGGAAAATGCTAATGGTATAACAGTGATTAAATGTCTTACAACAAAATATAAAAGACAAATGGGGAAGCAAAAAAAATTCTTCAAAGTTTATACATGTGATTAAACAGATGTCTGCACAATTACATATGTCATGTGCATAATCATTTAAAAACTATTAAAAAAAACTAACAATCTAAGATCCTTTAGCAATTACAGACCTTTTTATGTACCAAAGTATTTCCAGCTACGGGACATTTTTGCTTTTTTGAGGAATCACCCATTCATTGCCTCTATATTCCAAAGAAAGTATTACTATTTCTTCTTGAAGGCACTATGGTATTGTGCCCTCAGTATCACTTCAATTTCAATCCTATTCAACAACAATGTGCTAACCAATTTAAAAAGTCACTTAAATGAGATTTTACTATCTTATATATTTTGTCATTTTGCCTTTCCTAATTTGCTCTTTCTCATTTCACCAAAAAACAAGGCACAATACATTTTCACACACTCCCACACTCCTCCAAGCTTCCCTTTATGTTATGGCACCTTTTAAATAAGATCTCTTTACAAAATTAGCCTGGCCTTTATTTTCTTTACAGAATATAGATTGGAATAACTGATATTTTTTTCAACTTACAAAGTTAAATAAACCAAATTATAAGATAGCTTGCTCTTCAATAGTACCATAAAAAATTATATAAGAACAAAATGGCTTTATCTGAAAGTTACAAGGAAGGAGCATTGAAATACTACATATACTAGAATACTGACATTTATCAGAGAGCGTGCACATCAGTTTCTCATTATTCAGATCACTTGAATTTGCATGTTTATAGAAACAGTATAGAGTTATTTGAATTTGATAAATGATGCAGTATGAGTTATTTTTCACACGTTCCTAGAGCAGGATGTATGCTGTACATATATACACATTAACTGGTCAGAGCACAGACATTTACAGTGTCATGCTTTCATTCAAAATTAAGACGCCGTATTTCATTACAATTGCACGGCATCAAAATGCTATATATTGCTTCAAAAATGCAAATGATTTCACGGACTGGCCTTTGTGATTGAGAAGAGAAATAATGAATGGTCTTGTATTTTACACAAATGGACAAAAATACATCATAAATATATTGACCAATATATAACATTGAAGAACAAGAAACAGAAAGGAAACAATGCCCTTGCATAAAGATCAATTCTCTTTGCTGCTGTTGGAATAACTGGTTTGGCAGGGGGAGGCTTCTTGTTGTTCTTTGCCTGGGATTTCCCTAGCCCATTGTTGACTTCAATGGGTTTTCCATAACAGTCATAGTTGGACAATTCAAAATCTCTAGGTAAACTGCCAACAATGCTGAAGTCGTTTGATCTCAGGTCAGATTTGGAAGTACAGACTTTTTTGCATCTGGTCTCACCAACCTGATAAATGAAGAGTTGTAGACATAATATGCTTAGAACTTTTTCCATTCATAAGTAAAGTATCTTTCTAGAGTACATATTTTGAGAGAACTTAAGCAAAATATAGCTATTACATTAAGAATGTGTTAAATTCTCCTAGATTTCTTTTGAGCAAAAATAATCAATAAGCAACTGATTGAATTGTTAAATTGGTTGAATATTTATGTCTTCATATGACTGCCTGTATGAAGTTATTTATGCTATAATCATTATACCCACATAAATCATCAGCATCTTTATATACTACCAACAAAACTCAGTAGTAAGATGCAGAATAAGAAATTGCAATTAAAATAATGACAAACAATATAAAACACTTGGGAATCTACCTGCCAAGATAAATCCCAGGATTATGTGATCACAATTAGAAAACATTTCAAAAATTGGAGAAATATTAATTGCTTATGGGTAGGCCAAGTCAATATAATAAAAATGACAATTTTACCTAAGTTAATTTACTTATTCAGCACCACATCAATCAAACTACAAAATACAAAATTTTATGGAACTAGAAAAAATATTAAAATTTATCTGGAAGAAAAAATAATCCAAGAATAGGAAGAGAATCAGGGACGAAAATGTAAAAGAGGGTAGTTTAGCAGTTTCAGATTTCAAACTCTATTTCAAAGCAATAATCATCAAAAACAATCTGATGCTTGCTAAGAAAGAGAGTGGTAGATCAGTGGGAAAGATTAGGAACACAATACAAAGTACTAAATGACCATAAAAATCTAATGTTTGATAAAACCAAAGATTCAAGCTTTTAAGGTAAAAACTCAATATTTGGCCAAAATTGCTGGGAACACTGGAAAGCAGTTTTGCAGAAACTAGGCATAGACCAACATCTCATTTTGTATACGAAGATAAAGTCAAAATGGGTAAATGATTTAGATATAAAGGGTGATATAATTAAATTTGAGGAGCAAGGAAATATCCTCATTAGCTCTGTGGATAATGATAGGAGTTTATGGCAAAACAAGGTATGAAGAGCATCACAGAATGTAAAATGGATAATTTTGGTGACATGAAATTAAAAAGATCTTGCACAAATAAATTATAAATATATATGTATATATATATACATATATATGGAGAGAGAGAGAGACAGAGAGAGAGAGAGAGAGAAAGAGAGAGAGAGAGAGAATGGAACTAAGCCAAATTTATAAAAATAAGAGCCATTCTCCAGTTGGTAAATGGTCAAAGGATATGAACAGGCAGCTTTCAAAAGAAGAAATCAAAGTTATCAACAGTTACATGAAAAAATGCTCTAAATCATTACTTATTAGAGAAATGCAAATTAAAACAACTCTAATATACCACCTCCCTTTTATCAGATTAGGTAATATGACAGAAAAGAAAAATGACAAATGCTAGAGGAAATGTGGAAAAATTAACACACTAATGCATTGTTGGTGGAATTGTGAACTAGTTCAACTATTCTGAAGAACAATTTAAAACTAAGCCCAAACGGCTATAAAATTGTGCATACTCTTTGACAGAGCAATAACACTACTAGGTCTATATCACAAAGAGACTAAAAAAAGGTAAAATGACCTATTTGAACACAAATATTTATAACAGCACTTTTTGTGTTAGCAAAGAATTGGAAATCAAGGGGCTGTCTCCATCCATTGGGGAATGGCAAGACAAATTTGGTATATGATTGTGATGGAATACTATTGTGCTATTAAAAAAAATGAGCAGGATGGTTTCAGAAAAACCTGGGAAGATTTACAAGAACTGATGCAAAGTGAAGTCTGTAGAACCCATTTTATATAGTAACAGCAATATTGTAAGGATGATCAAATATGAAAGAGTTAGCTATTCTGATCAAGACAATGACCTAAGACAATTTCCAAGGACTCATGATATATGATGTCATCCACTTCTGGAGAGAGAGCTGATGAACTCTGAGTGCAGATTGAACATACTTTTTTTTATTCTCTTTATTTTTATTATTTTATTTTGTTTGAGGAGTTAAAAGTCAATATGGTTTATATAGAAATATGTTTTGAATGACTTCACATGTATAATCTATGTCAAGTTAATTGCCTTCTCAAAGAGGGGGAGAGGAAGGAGGAAGGCAAGAATTTGGAACTCAGCATTTTAAAACATGATTGTTAAAATTTGGGAAATATTTTAAAAAATCAATAAAAATATACTTAAAAAAAACCCTAATGAGATTAATCTATTTTATCGTTACAGAGTGACAAAAAAAACACTCATTATCAACACATTGGTGCTTGTAAGAATTCCAAGTTAGGATTCTTGTAAGCTGAAATTGTGTATTCTTGGGAGGTATGTAAGGCATTTCTACCCTTTCCTGGCACTGAGATTCAACCATGACCCAGAGCTGTCTCCACTTAAGTTGATGGATTGCAGATATCATCCTGTACTTTCAATCTTTGACTTCTTTATTGAGACTGTTTCAAGAGATGTCAGCTTCTGGGACAAAGGTTTCTTTCCATTAGGTGACTTACATATATTATTCTTATCAAAAGATATAAAGTAAAAAGACTCACAACTTATTATCAACTGAGTGAATCAGTTGCCTTAAGGGGGGAAACAGTTAACTTTATTATCAATGGACAGTATGTTGTATTAAATATCCAAATTATATCACTAATTGAATTCAATTCAGTTTAACAAAATTATCAATTGCCTGCTACACACCAGACATCATTGTAATTTATTAAGAATACAATGATGAAAAACAACACAGTTCCATAATCTACTAGGAATATATAATATATAGACTGATAAATATGATAAAAGGTAGAATGTGAGAGGGGCAAAAGGTACAACCTGACAGAGTGTTCTGATCATATCACAATCATTAACTTATTAGAATTAATTATAAATTTGAATAGTTGCCCTATAACTTAGAAATAAAACATTTAAAATATCTATTATTTAGATTAATGTGTTTAGAGAGTACAGCCCCTTTACTCTAGTTTTTTTATAGATTTTTTTAATGATGGAACAGTTAAGTCCCAATTAGTGCAAATAATGAATCATAGTCCCACATATTTGAATTTGCACTATTTGAGCTTATGATTGTGTGAAATATTGTCAACAATAATACCACTTCATGAGTATTCATTATTTGCACTAGTCATTATTTTTCTGTATTATAACAAATAGTAAAAAAAAATGCCAAACTTTCCCCTGCCTTACACTACTCTTGGGCTATAAGTGAGGGACCTCAGAACACTGTATTAGCTCTTTAGTTATTTTAATTT